GGGCTCTTTTCTGGCAGACCGAGCATGTGCGGGGCTGCCAGCCCAGGTTGGGTGCAACATCCTTGCTGTGCCAGCTCAGTGGCATATGCCGTGCCCACCGACAGCCCTGCAGGCAGATGGCCTGTACCACTGTGCAGTCAGCATCTGTCTCAGGATGGTCTGTGACATGATGCTTGCAGAGATTACTTGTTTCCTGGTTTAACTCCTGCATGCACAACACAAATTAGGAAGCCCTTTCAACCTCAGTTTAGAACTACCCAGCTACAGTTAGTTAAAGTAGAATGTTTAATGAAGGGATAATAACTGAGAGCACATTACGATGGCCAAAGTGGATAGTGATAGCTCCAACAGCATAGTGCAACAGGTATAATATAATAAATGATATAATAGTTCACAGCAGAAGCTCCAAACCCAGTGTCTGCCAAACCAACAGTAGACCCACAGCTTCACACTATTTTTTTGACTGGGCTTCTGCCTCCCTAGGTTGGGAGCTCAAGACTCTGTACTGTAAAGGGGAGTAGACCTGGTGAACTTTGCTTTTTGCTGGGTTATTTCCATGAAAGAAATAACAATAAATGGGCTAACCTGGAATTTACCCAGATCGGTAGATTATCAGCAGTGCCTAGAGACCGGTGGATGGAAGGGATGTAGCAAGTTTACTTAGCACGGGTCCACTGGACAAGACACATCACTGCTGCTGAATAAGGCAAATCAATATATGAAAATGAGGAAATGCAAGACGTATTTGGCCCATAAGTGCAGACAGGACCTACAGTAAAGCTATGCCTAAGTTAGGCCAGCCTAGGAAGCCCTAGACTTTATTAATTTTATTTATACTATTCTGAAGTTTTGACCAATTCATGTCACTACAACAAGTTGCTAGAGACTTAACATACATGTGGATACTGTAGGAGATGCATCTGGAACCGATTCACATCCCAAGCATCTGCTTCTGAACCTAAATCTAAAGTATGTGTTTGGAAAAACATAGTGTGATCCAGGAAGTAATACAACCTCAACAGCTTGAAATGAAAAATCAGAGCTGAAATTCTCCAAGACGTGGCAGTGTGATCTGGTCAAGGGTCCTTAACTGTGAATAGGTAAATGGCTGGTCTCTGAAGGAAGAGATTGATGCTGTTTCTTTTCTCTAAAGCTGACTGGTTTGTGTTTTGGCTCGTCTCAGGCCTCTTTTTATATTGAGGAGGGATCCACTATGTGGCAAGTGGTGTCTTCACAATCTGTGAGCAGAGTATTGGCTGTGTAGATGGTCAGCTCCTAACAGGCATCTCCTTACCAGGAGTGTGGCTCAGGGGGTGGCACGGCAGGTGACAGTCCAGTTCATCCAGTCTAACACTCTGGCTCTGCTGAAAGAGCAGCCATGGCTGCTGACTTCATGGAGGAGGCACTGGAGCTGAAGATGTGTCTGTGGTCAGGCATTTTGAACTGCAAATTAACCCCCTGGTGATCTTTGAAAGAGCCCAAAAGTGGCCTTTGTGTCCTGCATGTGATAAGAGGCACTTTGCCCTCTGTACACAGGTTTTCTGACCTCTGGGCACTGCTGCAGCACAGGTTACACAATTAGCTGGCTGCTGCACTGTCATCTGCCTAATCCAATCAATTAAATACTCACCTGCCCATTTGCCATTTCTGGGTCTCAGTCATTCCATTCTGGACCTGAGACAAAGGCAACAGGCTTTGGCGATTACTGGTCTGGTATGGGAAAGCCAGGCACCTCCTCTGAGATAGGTGTCCACAGAGACAGGGTACATTTGAGAGCCAGCTACTCCTGCCCTCCACATTCGTCAGAGGCCAGTGCTTTACCAAAACACATTTCCCCATGCAGACACAAGCGCCAGGTGAATGCAGTTCTGTGTTTCAGATATGGTAGACATATCACAGCTCAGAGGCTGCCAGAAAAGTTGAAATTTAGGGGTTGGGCTTGAGTTACTGACTTCTCTGTAAGTATCTTTTTTATATTCTTTAGAAGACCTGAAGAAAATGTTTCCAAATTCCTCAGGGCCTCCTGTGTGTTGTGGTTTAGGGCTGGGCTGGCCAC